GACGCAGCACTAGGAAGAGTTGCTGCGTAGGGGGGGTGAGGGGGGTAGGAGAGGTAGAGGAGGTGGGGGTATTACCGACCCCCCCAAAACCACATGGTAAAATACTAAAAACTGTACAAGAGACAGAGCAACAGGGAGAGAAACCACAGCACGAGGGGAAATACGCTGCCTGCGCTGCTGATGAGAGTAACGATGACAACGACGGAGATGATGAGGAGGATGACAGAGAAGAAGATCCTCCGAGACTGTTTCGAGAACACATCTGTTGAGGATCACATCTGGCCGACACGCTGACTGCACCCCCCCATAAACACACACACACACACACACACCTACTGACGGTGTATTCTGTCCGGTCACATGCGCGTCCCCCCCGGCCTCTCCAAGCTGTGATGGAGCCCATGCAGTGCGTAATGTGCAGGGTTTTTTTTTACTCACCCCGGGTGCTGTCGCCGCCAGTCTCCGTCCGCTCGCGTGTCCTACCGTGTGATTTAACGGGAGAGAGGGCGAGCCGTGGGCGCATTCAGCCCCCACCAGCGCCATCCAGCGCTGCGGACGCGGCACGCCGCTCTCGCGATACCGTGCCATCTTCCAGCTCTCCGGTTGAGCGTGTGACGTAGCGGTTTTATATCAGGCGGGTTTTGGTTTTTTTCGCTCGGCCCGATGCCGCCGCCTTCTGGGCACGAGGCGAAAGAAGCGCGAGGATGCTGATGATGTCATGCCGTATCTGACCGTGTGGCCTGTTACCTGTTTTTGTCTCGTGCTCGCTGCCCCTCTGTCCTTTACGCGCACACCTCCGCTGCCGCGCGCATCCCGCTGTCGGCTCCATGCAGAGGACATCTGTTTAATTGGTGCCATTGGAGAGCCGCCAGCACCAGTTTACAGTCACAGCCTGAACACACTATTCATAGAGCAGGCGAGGGAGGTCGTGGGGACAGTGTTTAGCTTGGCAGTGAGTTTTTTTATACCGTTTTGACTGAGAGAAATGTGGCATTAGGAATTAAAAGTGCTGAAAAGTAACACAACAGAGCAGCATGAAGGCATCTTACAGCAGTGGTTCGACATTTTAGGAAACAGCCCTGTCCTCTTTCTTGGCAAGAGTTGGATGAGAAGATTTGCAACTTGATATTAGGGCTTAGATTAGGGAAGGTGGGGAAACAGTCGGTGTCGAGTTGTTTTTCTTAGTTTTTATATCAGCATTATATATCAGCCGTGTTCTCTAAATATCGGCATCGGCCAGTGAAGAAGCCCTATCGGTCGACCACTAATTGGTATCACTTACAGGTCTGTAAATAGGAGGCTGCAGCCAGCAGTGTCAGCTTGGCACAAAGACTGGAAACGGGGAAAACCTGCAACCTGGCTTGGTCAACAGTTGACTGTGAAAGTATCACCTTTAACAGCGTGTCTTTTTAAAGGTTTTGCACAGATGAAACGATCAAGAAATATATTAACTTTCTTGCAGAGAGCTAGTCAAGAATTTGTACGGTAAGCCAAATGCAAGAAAATCTAAACTAACAAAATTCAGGAGCAGTAACTTCCTGGAGTCTCTGCTGGTTGCCTGGCAACTGCTCCCAGCAAAGAAATCCCTTATAACAGCAAATTGTGCCGATTAAACAGTTTGGACAAAGTCTTACAGGTGCTTGTTGGAGGATTTTGTTACACAGGCTTCCCCGTTTCCAAGCTAAGCTTGATGAGGCGCTAGCTGTAGCTTATGAATAGCCTATTTAGTGTACAAACAACTAGTAGGCTATCAATCTTCTCATCTAGCTCCCCAAATATCAAACTATCCCATTAATAATAATAGAAAAAGATTATTAATTGAGTGCTCACATAGGCTGCATATTCTCACTTAATTATAATACTTTTTTATTGTCTTTTTGCTTTTATTAGATAGTACGACATAGTAAAGAGAACAATAGGAGCTGATGATGCAATATTTCAATAAAGGGCCCCCGACTGAAATTGCAACACAACAATAATAATCACCTGAATATAAGGTGATTATACATTAGTGAAAACACTATTTACTGCTTATATTCTGCTGAAAACTGGTTGAAAGCTCCAGAAAGAGTGTGTAAGTGGACGTTGCATTGAGATTATTTTGTCAAAAATCTGATATTGTCCCTTTTAATAACAGTTCTCCTGGACTAGCACATGCAGGGTTGACATGAGAAGCAGACAGACATTCTGTAAATGGGGAACTTTATTGCATAAATACAAGAGTGCAGAGTGCTTATCTATATCTATTCCCACAGGTCGCGCTTTAGCTCACAGTATGCAAAATCATAGTAAGACTCAATCATAGTTACGGGAGGAAAAGATAAGAATGCACACAGGAGAGGGGGAGAAACTTTTTAAATCATTTCAAGTCAGTTTTAAATTATTTTTGTTCATTTCGATTCCGTGTATTTAAAGTACATTTCAACGTAAGTTCACAGGAGCCTCGGCAGTTCCAACAGTGTTTATGTTGTCAGTGTATGTGGTGTAAATTATGAACTGTGCCTAATGCTCTCGTGTATACACTCATGTTAGGGTGTATGTGTGTGTGTTTATGAGTTCCAGTTTGATGTGTGTGTTTCAGGCTACCTGTACTGTAAATATACTTGTGTGTGCATGCGTGTTCACAGGTCATCTGTCTCTCCATCGAAGGGCATGGTGTCCAGGTCCATGTGGATGTGTGAGTTGTCCTCACTGCAGACCCAGCCGATGGGCGTGCGGTTGAACGAGGGGCGTGAGCAGATGTCGGCCTGCAAGCTTGGCAGAGGCTCCTGCTCCTCGTCGGCAATGTTGATCTCTGGGAGTTCAAAGGTCAGCATCTTGGTTGCCTTGTCGTACCCGCCGAATGGTAGCGCTGTCCTGGGGGGAGAAAAGATGTATTAATACGAAGCTGCCAAGAGACAAGGCAACAGGTAACGAGTATAAGAAAGATTTATTTAATAGGACTTTCATATTTGTTTGCTTAAACACTGTGAAGGATTAAGTGGCATCTAGTGATGTAGTTGCAGACTGTAACCGATTCGGCTCACCCTCTCCTGCTGAGCGTGAAACATAAACTACAGTTGCAGTGAAACTCGCAAAAAAACACAAAGCGTCCGACCTAAAGCCAGTTTTTGGTTTGTCCATTTAGGGCTACTAGAAACAAGGCCCAAGAAGAAAGGGGCCCCTCTGCCAGCGCCTCTGTATAAAGTGTCAGTCAGAGTCAATCAAACTACTACTACTACTACACAAGTACAAACTACTACACAAAACAACCACAAGGAGATGCAAAACTACTACAAAGAGACACAAAACAACTACAAAGACACACAAAATGACCAACAAGAGAGTCAAAACGACTACACATTGATGCAAAACATCCAGAAAGAGACGCAAAATAACTCCTTTTACTCAGAAGAAAAACCTGTGTGTATAGTTGCATGTATGTGTACATGTAACAACACAAAAAAAATGTCAATTGTCCAGTTTCTCAAATGTGAGGACTTTTCTATGTTTTACATCCTTGTAACTGAATATATTTGGGTTACAGGCTGGTGGTCACCTGGGGCTATGGTACTTCAAAGCTACAATGTAGTGTATAAAAGTCCAAAAACTACATTATTAAGGCACCATTGTTTCTGACACTTTATCAGCTGAAAGATTAAGTGAAAAAACGATAAATTAATTCAGAGTCTACCTGTTGAAGCTCTTGTACATAGGCAGTTCTGGGTGCATGTGGATGGGTCCCGGCATGCAGGCCTTCAAGGTGGCTGTCAGCTCCTCGTTGCCCTTCATGGCCCGTTCCCATGGTGATACGTAGGTGGGTACATACTCCACCTTCCTCTTCCTCTCCGTCTCCTTATCCACTTTCTCCTCCACCACTGAGACACAGGACAGGGAAGAAAAATAGGGAGAGGTTAAATCTTAACACAAAGAATGCATATTAAATACTGAAAAGGGACAGAAAATATTACCTACCTTCTTCCTTCGGCATCTCAGGCTTTGGTGGAATTGGGGGAGGGGTCATGAACAGGTTATGGAGGTTCTGCTAGAAGACAAAAGAGGAAGATGTAGTCTGATCAGTACACACATACCCACACATTCCCCTTTTCTTCTTCCGTCCTACCGCGTTCTCGTTGGTCACGATGAACTTCTCAACTCTCTGCTGCCTCATCTTGAACATCTTGGAGCCCTTGTTACTGAGCAGGGAGAGCTCCTCCAGCATCACGTCCTTGGGTGTCTTGATCTTGGTGCCCAGGTCAAACTCAGATGCCTCTGGGTCTGACTCATCATCTGACAGAAGAGGAAGAGGACACAATGAATAATAATAATGTAATTGCAGGTAGGTGGATGCATAGAAGAGGTAGAAGGCAAATTGAGAAAAGTGCAATTTGGATTAAATATTTATTTATATAGAAATGTATATTCCTGTTTGATAATGCATGTGTGACAATATAGTTTAATATAAAACAGATTTAATATTCCTGTGTCATTTTAAAAAGTAGAAAGTCAGGAGGGTAATCATGTGAAAAAGGGAAATTCGGACAGGCTCCAATAAAAAGTTGTCTTCTCTTGTTTCAGTCTATGAAAGTCTGTTTTTGCTGTTTTTGTTTGGTGTTTTAAAGGATTAACAACACCAAAGTCACACAAAGTCACACAAACGAACTGATACAGGCAGCGGTAGACCAGCAACTCCCATGTTCTGGAGGTAAAAATAAAAAAGCATAATTCCTAAAATGTGAAACTTTTATTTTAGAATATGTTTAGAATTTAGAAGAATATGTGCTAATTGTTAATATTATCATTTTTAAAACATTTTCTCATGAACTGGCTCATGTATCCCATGATGATTTATCACAATGCAGCCTAATATCTTTTAAGCGTTTTTTGTCATTAAAGCCTTGGCGGAGGTGGTATACACTCTCTAAAATGTGATCTCTCTTATCAGCTAAATCCATTTGGCAAATTAAAACGAGGGTTTACCTTCCACTACATGTCTGATATTAAAATGAAGGATGTATTCCATACTATCCTTGTTGTGATGAATTAGAGTCAAAGCCAGTTGTGCGGCATTAAAGGAGGCGAGTGTGAAACCAGGGGAGTTGTAGGGGTTAGTAGGTCAAAGCAATATGAAAGAAAAGGGCACTGGGGAAATGCCACAGCAGGTTCTATGGTGGAACTGTTTATGGAGGGAAATCCTTATTACACACTGCCTCCCTCACGTTCTCCTCTTCTCTTTCAGTGATGGAGAGATCTGATGAATTTTACTGCTCCACAGAGCTCCTCATAAAACACTCTTCTCATCCACCACATACACTCAGATATCACTCATAACACCTGGAGTCCAGCCATAAACCAACACACACACATGCACGAACACATCTATAAAGCGGGGAGTTGGCATTGCAATGCTGCGGAGAGCTGTTAGCAGTACCTCATAAATCAGACTTGTGCAAGTGGGTGTGTGTTAAGTGTGTGTGTGTGTGAGAGAGAGAGAGAAAGAGAGAGAGGAATTGAGGCTGCTGAGCAGAGCGAGCTCTCCCATGGGGATATTGATTAGAGTGTTAATTCAGAAGAATGTGAAACTGGAGTTGGCTGCTGACTGGGAGGAAATTGGACAGACTG